CCAAGCAGCTTTCAATTGGGTTAAGATCAGGCGAGTTGGCCGGCCAGAAAAATCGGTTGGATGAGCCTCTGGCTCATATCTTCCATCGTAATTGCGACTGTGTGGGCAGGAGCTTTATCCTGTATTACGGAAAGCCAAGGTCTCATCAAGACCATGCCATCAATAAGAGGAACTATCTTCTCGCAATATTTTTGGGAGTTAATGGTGTTGAAGCTTTGACGTGGAGTGATAGATATGAGAGTGAGGTTTATGGGTCACGATGTATGAGATAACTGAGGTGCGGATGTATGAGTTCCTTACTATTGTTGTTGTACTAGTTAGGGATGTATTGTCTACATACATAAAAGGATTTCTCCATCTACAAGTGGGCCAGATCGCTTAGATCTGGCTAGCGGCTTTCGCCATCCTCTTCCTTTTCCCCCGCATGGCATCACGTGCTATACAACTACTGCTCACCATGAAGTCCGAGGATGAAAAGCGTTAGATTACAACACTTCCCCTCGCTTTGCACATCTGATGTGGTTAGATAGTCTATGGTGAGTTGCCTTTGCTAGGGCTTTGGTTAAAAGGTCGGCAAGATTGTTCGTGGATTTTACGTGGAGAAGTTCAAAATCTCCTTCGTTGTATTTATCGCGGACGTAGTGGTAATGTACGTCAATGTGCTTTGAGCGATTATGAATCCGTGGATTTCTTGCCAGTTCTTGTGCTCCATTGTTGTCTGTATAGAGCACAGTGTCGTACTTTTGGCGCAGTTGGTCAAGTCCAAATTTCGTACAGGTGAGTTGGCGTGCAGCTTGCGACATGGCCATGTATTCGGCTTCTGTAGTTGATAGTGCTACAGATCACTGTTGTTTGCTGCTCCAGGCGATTGCGGCATCACCAAGTCTGATTACGTATCCTGATGTCGATTTCCGAGAATGGGGATCATCAGCATAGGAGGCATCAGCATAAACTTCGAGAAGCTCGTTCGATCCGAAAGGATAGTTTAGATCCCAATCGGTGGTTCCCGCTAGATATCGAAGGGTACGTTTGGCGGCTCGCAAGTGACTTTCATTTGGACAAGATGCAAACTGGCTTAAAAGTGTGACTGTGTAGGCTAGGTCTGGTCGGCTTCCTATGACAAGGTACATTAGAGATCCGACGATGGCTTGGTATTCCTTCATGTTCTCGAGACGATCCTCTTCACATCCTTTGAAGAGGGTTACGTTCGGATCAAGAGGTGTGCTAACTTTATGTGAGTTTTCAAAACCGAATCGTTTTAGTATCTTTAGTGAGTAGCCTTGTTGAGAGAGCCGGATGCCAGATTTCTCTAGTTTAATCTCTAGGCCCAGGACATAACTCGCGTTTCCCAAATTTTTGCAATCGAAGTCGTTTCCGATTGACGATTTCAGGGCTTGGCGGAACATGTTGTCTGGACCGAAGATTAGAATGTCGTCAACGTATACCGCGACACAGGCATTTTCTGTCGGGTGAACGAAGACGCATGGATCGAAGTTGGTTATCTCGAATCCTTTTTGTCGAAGGGAGTTCGAGATACAAGCATACCATTCACGACCTGATTGTTTAAGGCCGTAGATACACTTACGAAGTTTAACACATTTTCCGGATGTGCGGAATCCAGGGGGTAGTTCCATGTAAATTTCTTCCTTCAAGTTTCCGTAAAGGTATGCAGAATTTACGTCCATCTGTTGGGGAATCCATTGGTTTTGAGAAGCTATCCGTAGAAGGATACGGAGGCTGTCATACCGAGCTACAGGGGCAAATGTTTCGTCGAAATCGTGACCAGGAAGTTGACTGAATCCTTGAGCCACTAATCGAGCTTTGTACCGGTCGATAGATCCACCCGCTTTTCGCTTGATTTTAAATACCCATTTGGATCCAACGATGTTGCGATTTAATGGTCGAGCAGTTTCATCCCAGGTGTGATTTGTCTTAAGGATTGTAGCTCCTTATTTACTGCATCACGCCAATAGTGTCCATCAGGCCTTGAGAGAGCCTCGTCGATGTTTCTCGGATCCTCGTTAGTTTCCGTTGCGGTTTTTGCCGCTAGAGTCAATGCAATCCATCCAGTTTCATCTTGTGTTTCCTCAGCAATAACCAGATTTCCTTGCTCATTATCATACTCTTCTCGTGTCTGAAAGGTAGGCCCATAGCTTACGGGAAAGCCATAGCGTTGAATGGGTCTAGGTGTCCTCTTAGGTCGAGAATTTGGTGATTTGAAGAATGATCCTGGCATATCAGACGTTTCTGGCTGTAAACCTGCGATAGATAATTCTTTTAGCTGGTGCATCGTTTCAATTTCTCTTTGGATTTGCTTTGAGGGGTCATCGAGTTTGTCATCTGTGGAAAGCTGCGGTTTGGCTATGATGGGTTGTCCTGTGTGGTGGTTGTTCTGCTTCGTCATTTATTGCTTGTGGCAGGCTGCTTTCGGTTTCAAGGTTAATTGTGACTTCCCCTGAATCCGATCGGCGCAAACTTGACGTTGGTTTATTCCATAACCTTGTTCTTGGATGGGATCCATATCCGAAAGATTTGTTGTGCTACTTGTGTATCCTACAAACTTGCCATCCAGTGCCCTAGTAGGAGTTTGAGCCAGGAGGGCCGCGAATCCTCGTGAATGTGAACAAAGCAGTTCCTACCGGAAGGGTTGAAGATGGTGTATTGTAGGTTATTGCCGTGTAGTGCCTCATATGGCGTAATGTTTTCGGGTAGCCGTGTATGAGGGAGGCGATTTTGAAGGTAGCAGGCAGTGGCTATAGCCTCCTGCCCACAGCGAGAGTCCAAGGTTCATGATTAATGCTCGGGCTATTGTTGTCAGGGTCTGATTAAACCTCTCTGCAGTTCCGTTTCTCTCATGTTCATATGGTGGAGTTTTTTGGTGAAACAAATCCTTTCTTTCGGAAGAATGTCGATACTGTTTGGATTGATAAACTCTCCCCCGTTGTCTGTTCTCCAACGCTTAATTTTAGCGCTGAATTGCGTTTGTACAAAGTGTACGAAGTCAACCATTTGTTGGGCTGCTTTCGTCTTGGTTCGCAGGAACTTGACCCATGAATGTTGGGTATATTCATCAATAAAAGTTATGTAGTAAAATTTTCCACTTAATGAGGGAACGGAGAAATTTCCAGAGAGATCAGAATGAATTAATTTAAATGGTTTCGTAGCATTTTCACGAGTCTGTTTGGGAGAGATGTTTTTTTGATTTAGTTTTCTTGCATGTAGGGCAATGGAAGTTTGGGGGTGGTGAGGGAAGGTTGGCCTGTGAATACAGCTTTGAAGGGTTTTGATGGTGGTTACTCCGGGATGTCCCAAACGCCTGATGGAATTCAATTTAAGAGGAGAAGCAAGCATTATATTCCTCTAGCTGTATTAAGTGCGCCTTAACTCCTGCCTTTGCCCACAATACTTCACGCCCATTTTTGTCCTGTATGTTATATCTTTTTCTTTGCCTATCAATGTGTAACCTTTACAACTCACAGCGTCCCAAGAAAAAAGTCGTATCTTTCCAAAAGAAGGTACAAATAGGACATCGGTTAAGATGGTAGAGTAGACCTCTCCTTGTCGGTTCCTAGGTTAGACGAACAGTTCCTTTTCCGGTTACAGGGACATGGGAATTGTCTGCAATTTTGACACTGTGGTTTTTTAGAGGTATCAGTGTTTCAAAATCACGTTTACA